GCGGCCGCGGAAGCCCACGTGGCAGTAGAGGAAGTAGAGCCCGTCCCGCGGCAGCGCCAGCCCGCGCGCGCCCGAGAACTGCGCGCCGCTGCGCAGGAACGCCTCCTCCTTGTGCGCCTCCCAGCCGAGCCCCAGCCCCTGCGTCCAGGCGCCTGCGGAGACAGACGGACAGGCGCGGCTCGCGACCAACGTGCGCGGCGGGGGCGGGGGAAGGGGAGCGAGGGCGTCTTAGGCGAGGGCTGGTGGCGCCTGGGGTTCCGGGCCGGGGACCTCGCCGTGCGCAGCGCACCCGGCCTCTGGCGCTGCCAGCGCGCATTCAAGTCCGCAGAGCGTTACCTATGAGGTGGGCAGCCGGGAGCATGGGGCCGAGGTCTCTGTCTGGCACCTCCTCCCGCCGCTCCGGGGACCCTGGAACTGGAGAAGAGTCCGCGCGTGGGCAGGGCGCCACCCGCGCGTGCGCCCTGCCGCCCCCGGGACGGAGCCCCGAGGTGGGGAGCCCGGATTCCTGCAGGAGAGCGCAGGCGGGAGATGGTTGCTCTTACCCAGTCCTTGCTGGGCCTGTGCTCCTGGGCCAGGGGTCTCCGTCACCTGCTAGGGTGGGGTCACAGCGCCCAGAGCTCAGCTTCAGCGGATGCCAACCCCGCCCCTCCCAGCGCGGACCCAAGCCCCAGGCTCAGGTCTGGGTGTCGGCCGCGCACCGGCCACAACACACATCTCCGTGTGTCCTTGGCCCGAGACAGAGCCCGGGGTCTCTTGGCAGAGACAGACTCCAGAAAGCGGCATGGAGGCACCAGGACCCGGGGTGTCACAGGAACGTGGAACGAGGCAGAGAGACTGACATGCCTCCCACCTGGGACACCCCGCCAGCTGAGCCAGATAGACCGGAGGCCCTGGAAGTCAGGGAGCGTTGCCGAGACCCAGCCCTCGGGGCTCGCTGCAGCCACTCACCGGTCCTCCCTGCTCCTGCGGCACCAAGGCCAGCACCGCCAGGACGGTGATGGGCACCGCCAGCAGCAGGGTCACCAGCGCAGTGGCGCCCGCCACAGCCAGCAGGAGGCAGCCCCTCCCCCGGGGCCTCCCGCCCGGGCCCTGCCGCCCCAGGTCCCCCATCCAGACTGAAGCAGGGCCAGGGAGAGGGGCTTTCATACCTCAGGGGTGGGGCCACCCCCTCCCCGTAGACCCACACACCTGGGTGGGACTTTCCGCACCCTGTCCTGCTCCCCTCACCCGGCTTCCTGTTTACCCAGAGGTGGGGTGAGGCAGCTGGATGCCTGGGTTCTCTGAACCGGGGAAGGACTTGGGGTCGAGGCAGATGTGCAAGGTAGAGCCGGAGGGGTCTTACAGATCCTCGGCCCGGTGGGGAAGGAGAGCCAGACCCAGGGAGGGAAGGCAGCTTGCAGAAGGCTGGGCAGCCAGGCTGGCTGTGTGAGCGGCACAGGATGGCGCTCCCACGCGCTCTGCGATCTTCTGTGCCCCGGAGGTCGCGGTTGCAGGGGGCGGGTGGCACCTCCCCAAGGTCAAGGGCTGGAGTTGGAGGACAGCAGCTGGGGTCTGAGGGAGGGGTGCCCGTGTCCCTCTCTGAGCAGCCTCTTCCCCTTCTCTTGCTCACCCCAGCCTCTAGGCGAAAGGCAGAGACACTGAGGAAAGTGGGGAGCACGCGCGCTCTTGCTCTTTCTGCAGAGACCGGAGAACCGGGAGGGAGGCGCACCCCACCCTCAGAGCCTCAGCCTAGAGTGAGCCCCGTCATCCGTCAGTGTTCGCTAAACACCTAGGAGCGAATGAGTGAGAGGACAAATGGATGGCTGGGCAACACAGTCAGCAAGGACCAAAGGGAGGAAGAGGTAGGCCGTGTGGGAGGAATGGGAGACCTCGCCCGGGGCTCCGGGTCATTGCACGTTCTTGATGACATCTCCGGGTAGTAATAACAGTGACATACAGATAGCACTGAGCACATGAGCTCTGCAGATCTACATACTTACTATGGAATAATTATTTTAGGGCTGGGGATATAGCTCAGTGGCACAAGCGCCTGCCTGGCAAGCTCGAGGTCCTGGAGTTTGATTCCTGGTACCAAAAAAAAAAAAATTTATTTTAGTCCTGGCAAAAGTCCTAGGAGGAAACTGAGGCACAGAGGCATTGAGAACTTTGTGGCTCAAGCGTGGTGTTCCAAGCCTGTAATCCCAACATTCAGGAGGCTGAGGTAGGAATCACAGGAGCTCAAGAATTAGACACCAGGCTCTGTGTGGTCGTGCACACCTGTAATCCCAGCACTCAGGAGGCTGAGGCAGGAGGATCATTACAAGTTCGAGACCAACCTGGGCTACAAAGTGAGCTCAAGGCCTGCCGGAACTGCATAGGGAGACCCTGTCTCAAAAAGACAAAAAAAAAAAAAAGAAAAGAAAGAAAAAAGAATTAGACACCAGTCTGAGCAACCACACAGCCAGACTATGAATAAAGAGAAAGAGAAGAAATCTGTGGATGGGCTGGAGGTGGGCTACTGGTGCAGTGTTTGCCCAGCATGCATGAAGCTCTGGGTTTAATCCCCTAAGAAAATTGAGTACTAACTTCAGATTTGTGCATTTCACACGCCAAAGATTAAAATTGGACCCATATCTTTTCACCATGCACTAAACTAATGGATCAAAGATCTAAATATTAAAACAGAAACATTAAATCTGGCAGGCAGAATAGGTAGAACTCTTGAAGGCATTGTTGTAGGCGAAGACTTTATGAATAAAACCCAGATCACACAGGAACTATCACAAAGAACCAACACCTGGGATCTCATCTTATTAAAAAGCTTTTGCACAGCAAGAGAAACCCCAACAGAGTGAAGAGACAACCTGCAGTGTGGGAAAAAGTGCTGTAGCTCAGACAAAGGTTTACTAAGGAGAACATATGAAGAACTCAGAAATATCAGACGTCCCAAATTCAAAGGCCAATCCAAAAATGGGCAGCTGAGATGGATACACACACTTCTCAGATGAAGAAATACAAAAAGCAAATTAGGAAAAAATGTCCAACATCACTGGTCATTAGAGAGATACAGATTTGTGCATTTCACACTATGTAAATTTTGTCTTCCTCAGGCAAAAAGAAAAGGGGCGGGGAGTAATTCTAAACCCCAGGCAACAGCGTGCTGAGGGGTTTAGAGATGACATGTCACAGTATTTGCAGTTCTGAAAGATAAAAAAGGTAAACTGAGATGTGGTGGTGCACACCTATGATCCCAGCACTCGGGGGAGGCTGAGGCAGGAGAATCACAGCAAATCTGAGGCCAGCCTGAACTACGTCTGACCCTGTCTCAAAAAAAAAAAAAAAAAAAAATTAAAAAGATGTTAATTATAGAATCTAGGTAGTAGGATCACTTTGATGTACAACTTTCAGTTTTTCTCTACTTTGGAACTTTTTACTAATAAAAGGTAAACACTTTCACACCTACCTGAATATTGTTTTTGGGGGGGAACGTTGAAGATGAGGGGGGGAAGGAAGTGGCAAAAAGTTCTCACAGATACTTGAGGACCCAGGTGCAGGTCCCCTCCTTACCCTTTGCCTCCAGACGAGCTGCCTGACCCTGTCTTCACCCCCTCAAAGACTGGAGGTACAGCCTCCAGCACGCCCTCCCTGTCCCACGCAGCGCCACTGGGAGGCTTTGCCCAGGTCTTTCCATGAAGAGCCTTGTATCATTCATCACTCCCAGTCCTGCGCTGAGCCCCAGAATGCCGTCTCCTGCAGGAAGTCCTCCTGGATTACTCACAGCTCTTCTGCCAAAGCCAACTTGGCATCAACTTTCTGTCTGACATTGACCAGCAGTGCCCAGGCAGGTGAAGTCCAGCTGCCTCTCCTGCTTTTTTTTTTTTCCCCCGGTACCAGGAATCGAACTCAGGACCTCGTGCTTACAAGCCAGGCGCTGTGCCGCTGAGCTAAATCCCCAGCCCCTCTCCTGCTTATTAAGCAGCCTGCTGGGGACAACTGCAGATCGCCAGGGGAGGCCCCATGCTAGACCCCCCAGAGCTGTCTGATGAGGAGGCTGGGGTGTGTGGGGGCAAGTCCAACAGGGAAGGCACCTGCGGGAGGGGAACATCACCAGAGTGGGGTGGCTGGGGCTGAGAGCGATGACACCTTAGTTACAGCCCAGGGCCTCCAGGGAGGATGTTGCAACCCCAACTGCACTTCCTCTCCTTCCAGTGCTGGGGAGGCTCCCTGGGGGGTACGGGGAGGTTGAGGCAGAGGAGGCAGGAACTCGTGAGGTGGCAGCACTGCTCTCTGGGGGGCCCTGGCCAGCTGAGTGTGTCCCCCTGCAGGCCACAGGCTCCGGGTTAGCAGGGACTGAGCAGGGCCGCTGGCAGGGGCAAGCCCAGTGAGGGGAGGCTAGGATGAGGGCGGCAGAGTGTGGTTTGGAGGCCCTAGAGGAAGCCTCTTTTCAGCTTGTAAGCGTCTGCTCCCCACAAAATGAAAAAGAATCCACTTCTGGCCGGGCGTGGAGATGTACACCATCATGCCAGCAACCTGGAGGCTGAGGCAGGAGGATCGCCTCAAGTTCAAGGCCAGCCTGGGCTCCACAGTGAGTTCAAGGCCAGCCTGGACTATAAAAAAAAATAAAAGGAATCCACTTCTGTTCCCTCCGCCTGTGGCCTCTGCAGCTCTCCCCTGCGCTGAGTTTCTGCTTTCCCTCACACACCCCAGCACCCCTCAACCCCAAAGCATCTGTCTCAGGTGCTGTCGTGGGACCTGGTGTGAGGGAGAAATCCGTGGCCTCCTGTTTGCCCTCAAACAGGAACCAGCGGTTGGAGGCAGGAAGTGCCTGAGAGGAAGTCCTGAGCCCCAGGCCCCGCTGTACCCCACTTCACTCCAGCCCAGTGGGCCTGTGCTCCCAGGGCCCCATAGCTGAGGAGCACTGGACGCCTTCCTCCCGCTCCCCTGTGTCCCCAGCCTCTGACTCCTCTCCTGCATCCCCTCTCACTGAGCTCCCGGAGTTACTCAGGGCCTGAGGCCTCTCCTAGCCCCCGGCCACCCGGGAGTGGGGGCCTATGGCCGGACAGAGCTGTCCCTGAACCCCCTCTCTGCCACTTCCGTCTGGATGTTCTCAGAAAAGCCTGGCCTTGAGTCTTGACTTCTCATCTGGGAAATGGGCCCCCCAGTGTCTCAGGCCCTCTGGGGTGGTGACGACAGGGCCCCTGCGCAGGGTTAGCACACAGGCGAGGCCCCTCTGCTGTGGCAGGGGGTAACAGAGGCCGCACGGACGAGGAACTTGCAGCACGTGACTACCTCCGGCCACCAGGCCACGCAGAACGGGCAGGCGAGGAGGTGGCCTCCAGGCTGGTCTCAGTCCCACCTCATGTCAGCTAGCAATGGAGTGTGACCAGTGTCTCCGGGGTGAGTAGGGGCCCGGCTTCTGCGCAGGGAGGACGGTGCGCGGTCAGGGAGCCACGGGGAAGAGGCGAGGTGTGGCTCGCAGGCAGTGCTCGGGGCTCCCCAGGAGCCCACGTAGGCCGGGACACGCGAGGGCTTCGGGGAGCCACTGCGGGGGAGCTGAGCCAGAGGGGGGCAGGGAGGCGAGGGGCGGGCATGCGAGGGGAGATGTGGAGGGGAAATCCCTACCCTCCTGCCTCCGCCATCCTTGGGGAAGGGAACTGAGATGCCCACAACCAGCCAAGGGGACAGGGCGGGACGGCCGAGCGAGGAGCCAGCCCGCTGACACCCCCGGCCCGCAGGCTGCAGCCCTGTCCTCTTCGGGGGCCTGGGGCTGGGCATGCTCCTGCTCCTGCTCTTCCTCATCCTGGCCACCTGCCTGTGCCGGCTGCAGCGGAGAGGTGAGCGCCCAGCAGTCCGCGCGGTCCCGGTCCTGCGGTGGGAGACGGGGGCGGCCCGGGGTGGCGAGCACCAGCAGCACCGGGAGGAAGGAAGCACGGACAGGCCGGAGCCTGGCCTCGGGGGCCGCGGAAGGGAGGGGGCGGCCACACGGGAGGGGGCCGGGCAGTGCTGCGCGCTCACCCAGCGGCTTCTTCTTGCAGTGAGGAAGCTGGAGAGGAGCCAGGTGAGTCCCGAGAGCGGAGCCCGCGGGCTGGGGACACTGAGGCCTGGGCAGGTGGTTGAGAGGGGACGGGGACCTGGGCATCAGGGAGAAAGGGAGCGAGGCACAGGAGGGAAATGAGAGATAGGAGACGGCACGGAGTCAGGCAGAGAAAAGCCAAAGAAAGGGGAGAGACAAGGGATGAGAAAAGAGGGGAAACAAGGGAGAAGTAAAAGAAACAGTAAAAGGATGACAGTGGGAGGAGGAAGGGAGAGGCAAGGGCCAGGACACAGCTCAGTGGCACAAGCACCTGCCTGGCAAGTGCAAGGTCTTGAGTTCGATTCCCGGTACCACAAAAAGAAAAAAAAAGACTCAAAAAAAAGAAGAAGAAAGAAATGACAAGAGAAGAGAGGGAAAGAAGGAACAGAGGAGCTTTAGAGAAAAAAAGATATAGCCCAGGGGCATAAGCGCCTGCCTGGCAAGCACAAGGTCCTGAGTTCCAATTCCCAGTCCAAAACCAGAAAAGAGAGAGAGAGAGAGAGAGAGAGAAAAAGAGGTGGGCGTGGTGCACATGCCAGTCATCCCTGTACTCTGGGAGGCTGAGGCAGGAGGGTTAGAAGTCTGAGCCCAGCCTGGACAATTTAGTGAGACCCTATCTCAGAGTAAAAACTGTAAAGATGGCTGGGGATGTAGCCCAGCCGGGAGGCCCTGGGTTCACTCCCAGGTGTGGAGAAAAGGGTGGGAACTGGGCAGGGGGCGAGGCAGGAGCAGCTCGGGTGGGGGCGGCCGCAGGACCCTTGCCCGCGCCTCTGCTCGACCAGCACCAGGAGGAGGAGCTGCACTACGCATCGCTGCAGCGACTGCCGCGGGCAGCACGTGGCAACGGCGAGCGGGACGCCGCCAAGGAGGACGCCAGCGCCGACTATGCCTGCGTTGCCAAGAAAAAGCCCACCTGAGCCCCGGATGTCCCCGCCCCACGGGGAGGGCAGGGTTGCCCTGGGACTCCCCAGTAAAAACAGTGAACTTTGCCCCCTCCCGCGTCTTGCCAGGTCCGTCTCGAGCCCCCTTTCCAAGTGAACGTGCAAAGCCTGAGCGGCTCCGTGGGCCGCCCTCCCTGCGCCGAGCAGGGATCTCCGGGTGAAGAAGAACGTATAGGACCCAGTTCCCCGCGGCCTCTGCCCAGCAGGAACAGGTAGCTGACAGATAGAGCAATCAGGGCTGATCATCTGCTTCCCAGGCTGCTATCTCAGCCTCCTGGGCCTGGAGGAGCAGTGGGCTGAGCCCCAGGGTGATGGCCCCAGGGGCTCTCTGCTGACCGCTGTCACCTGGACCTCTGCAGCTCAGCCTTAGTGGAAGGGAGAGTTAAGAGCTGGGGGAAGCCAGGCGTGGTGGTGCACACCTGCGATCCTGGCACTCAGGAGGCTGAGGCAGGAGGATTGCCTTGAGGTACACCGTGAGTTCAAGGCCAGCCTGAACTGCCTAGCAAGACTGTCTCCAAAAACCAAACAAAGAGCTGGGGAATGGAGAGTAAAGAAAACACAGGAGAGGCAAGCAGGAGGTAGCGCCGGGCAGGATTTATTGGGGTCGCTGGAAGAGAACCAGGGGTCGCAGGGACCTGGGGTCACTTCTCAGAGGCTGTCGGAGGGGTTGCGCGGCGGTGTGTCCCCCTGGGGCGGTGACCTGGCGGGAGAGACAGCGGCCGCTCAGAGCCGCGCCCTGGGCTCCTGCCCCGCTCTCTCGGCACCCCCTCCGCCGGCCCGGCCTCCACTCCTCACCTCTGCCCTGGAGACACAGGACGCTGCCCAGGGCCACGGACAGGAAGCCCAAGGCGAAGAGCCCGGCGCGCAGCAGCAGCGTGGGGCGGGCCGCCGGGCGCGCGGGC